AGTACTCTGTGTGTGGTCTCATAGAGAGCTGTGAGGTTCTGGGAGCAGGGGAGTAAGAAGGGAGTCGGTGTGACCTGATGCTTGTCCTGACTCCATCAGTTCCCAGCTCTGGGCTGTTCAGCACATCAGTTTACTGCTCTTAGGTGCCTTTTTCTTATCTATAACGTAATGTTACCTTACAGAGGTTAATTTGTAAAGAGTAACAGCAAGAATTGAGCAACTGGTACTTACTATTATTGTTGTTGTTATTATTACTGATATATTTTAGTAAATTTAATCTCAGAACAGTGCATAGTAGCCTAGGCCTAACCCTTAGGCCATTAGTTGAGAAATGCTTGAAACATAGTTGTAACAGGTAAATAGGAAGAGACAGATACTAGGGATATTTTAGATGAATATTATTAATAGCTCAAATTTATATAGCTTTTAAAAATTCTTTATATGGTTCTTTATGCTGTTCCATAGTATTGAGGTGTTCATTATTGTATCAATAGTGTATAGTTGACAGATGAATACAAAGCACTTGGACATGTTATTGAATTTGATCCTCAGAACCGTTCTGTCAGATATTATTTCCATTTTATTAAGACCCGGAGAGGTTAGATAATTCCTTGAAGTTCACACAAGTTAATAAAAGAGTCAATTTAAAACTTGAATTTCTATACACCTATTCTAGCGCTTTCTCCTTTATATCATATGATAGCATGACAAGAACTGATGTAGTACAGTAAGCGACAATATGGAAAACTGTTATTAGTACCCTGAAAGAGTTAGGATCTTTTCTGAGGTATCTGCCTTAATACCAAGAAATAACCAAGTAATGAAAGGAGACAAACAAGTTCAAAGTCTGCTAGTTATTAATTCATGTATAACCCAGTGATATTTGAATATAATCTTTGTTCGGTAGAGCAAAATGTTAAGTGGCTCTAATTTACCATTTAAAATATCTTTAGCAGAAATGAAAATAAGCTCTTGGTTTTTTGCACCAAACTGCATCAGGCTTTTAGTACATTCTGGGTGATTGTAAAGTATTTTCCAATAGAGCTGTTTCTTAAGTGTTTTTAAATAGTATTGATCATGAAACTTTTTGAAATTTACCATCAGGCCAATGGTGGCAGAGCCTACGTAGAACTATGCTTCGTGGTGTTCTGGGAAAAACCTTTCGACTTGTTGGCTATACTATTCAGTATGGTTGTATAGCTCACTGTGCTTTTGAATACGTTGGTGGTGTTGTCATGGTAAGTTTTTACATTCAAGAGTAATCATTTTAAATATACACTTTTTTTAATTGAGGGAAAATGTGTTTTTTCCTTTATTATAATTTATTAATTTAATGAATGAATTTAATTTAATTTTAATTTAATTTAATGAATGAATGTTAAAACAAAATCTTTCTAAATTTTGGGATGTAAGAGAGTATGTTTGAATTGGCACTAATATAAAATATAAAAACCATTGCTTTAAATATGGTTCTGTATTCTGTTACTGACAGGGGTGCAAAAGGCCCTGTTAATAGTCTAATAGTAATGGTTTTCACCATTTATTGAATGCTACTTACTGTGTTCCAGGATTTGTTCGATGTTTTACGTTTATTAACTCATTTAATCTTTTCTGCTCTGTGAGAGACTTACTAGAAATCCGTTATACATAAGAGAAAACAGGCTCAGAATGCTTCAGTAATTTGCTCCAGGTCTCACAGTTAGTAAGTAGCCGACTTGGAATTTCAACACAGATTTCTCTGGTTTTCAAAACTCCTTTTTTTTTATTGTGAGGAAGATCAGCCCTGAGCTAACATCTATTGCCAATCCTCCTCCTTTTTTTTCCCCCAAAGCCCCAGTAGATAGTTGTATGTCATAGTTACACATCCTTCTAGTTGCTGTATGTGGGACGCGGCCTCAGCATGGCCGGAGAAGCGGTGCGTTGGTGCGTGCCCAGGATCAGAACCCGGGCTGCCAGCAGCGGAGCATGCGCACTTAACCACTAAGCCATGGGGCCGGCCCTCAAAACTCCTATTCTTAACCACCGTGTTTAACTGTTGTTAAAACAAATGATTATTCTGCCTTATGTCAGTATGGCAAGGCTGCCCCACACCAGTGCTTTTTCTTCATATCGCATCACGAATCTATCAGCTGTGATCGTAGTAACCTTTTGTCATGTAAATGAAAGAATAAGTTGATTGAATGGCTAGTCAGTGGGTTTGTTGTTGCTGTTGCTGTTTTTATCCGGTTTACCCCAACAGATTCACAGTCATACAACCTCAGGTTGAGCTGGAGTGATGCAAATAAATATATTTAACTGAAACTCCCCACTTTGATGTTTTAAAGTTGCATCGGTACTTCTACTGGGCTACAGAGGTAGCGCACATAAACTTGCATTGTGTTCTTTGTTGCTGCCTGAGTAGGAAGTTTGAGTAGAAAGTTTTATTTACCCATAAGTGGAGTAAGTGGAGACTGCCGTATTTAGATTTTTTTAAGTGGCAGTGATCGTTTATAACAATTTTGAGGTATAGATGAATACTATTGTTTTAAGACATACTAATATGAAAATCTTTAAAGTGCATCTCATCATACCAGTATTTTTCAGTAGAAAATATAAGTTGCAGCCCCATCAAATGAGTAAGCTATTCTCTTGGAAGAGAAGGAAAGGTATCAACTCATTGAGAATAGTATGATGCCACTTAATAAATTACCATCATGGGCACTGCATGATGTTTGACAATAGCAGGAAAATAAATAAATCATTCATTTATTCATTCAACACATATTTATCGAGTATCAACTTTATGCGAAGCGCTGTTCTTGACCATGGTTATACAGCTGGGAACACGAGAGACCGGGCCCCTGCCCTCATAGGGCTGACATTCTACAGGACAGCCAAAATTTGGAAGCATAGATAATGTTATTTTATTTGTGTATTATAATGTAATATCAATAAACCATTTTTAATGTATTTGCTTGTGTTTCCAGACTGTGTGGGCACTCTGTAGACTTGAACTTATCTGGGAGCTGCCAGCTTATTATGAATCATCTTCCAAGCTTGAAGAACATTTGCTTGATTTTCTTTCTTTTGAGCCTGCTCAGATGATTTATGTTAAATTAAAAAAAGTTTTGAACTCAAATTACAAAATTACCTCTCTTTTCAGTGTTCTGGACCATCAATGGAGCCTACAATTCAAAATTCAGATATTGTCTTTGCAGAAAATCTTAGTCGACATTTTTTTGGTATCCAAAGGTAAATTTCTGTCATAGATATATAAGTTTATGGTGAAAACACACACACACATTGTGTCTTTTCTGCAGTTTAACTTTATCTTTAAAAGCTCTGTTGTAAATAACCAAATTAATGACCATCTAGATAAAATTTTGACTCAAATATTTTCTCTCAGTTTGAGAAATTTTAATAGTTTCTCTAAACACATACAGTCTCTTGGGTCATTGCGTCTCTTGCGTCATTATCCAAAATAGATAGCAGTCCCTTTATAATGTACATTTAAGCCTACTTTCCTTTTTGGGGGGAGTGGGATCCTAGAATGTTTTGAGTTAAGAACTAGGGACTTAGGAACTACATTTACTTATCCAAATCAGTGGTTTGTTTTTTTAGTATTTTCAGTAATCCTGTATTTCGATTAATGACTCTCTTCTTCTCTATAGCCTATGATGAGCACTCAATTTTTTTTTTTTTTTGAGGAAGATTGGCCCTGAGCTAACATCTGTTGCCAGGCTTCTTCTTTTTCTTTTTTCTCCCAAAAGCCCCAGTACATAGTTGTATATCCTAGTTGTAGGTCCTTCTAGTTGCTCTATATGGGATGCTGCCTCAGCATGGCCTGATGAGCGGTGAGTAGGTCCTTGCCCAGGATCCGAAGCGCAAACCCTGGGCTGCCAAAGCAGAATGCATGAACTCAACCACTACACCACCAGGCCGGCCCTGCACTCGATGATTTTTAGACTGTGGCTATATAGCTGGGAGCCAGAAATCTTTATCTATTCTGATTCTCCTGATTAATTATATTAAGTTGAAGAACTCCTTGGCAAATATTGTTTGCCACTCAACCTTTTAAAATCCTTTTCTAAGCAGTGTTTCCAATCCTTGTGATGCTGTTCATTCTACTTAACTCTGTATTATTCCTTCTGAATGAATGTCAAGTATTAATAATTTATTGTATTTTCTAAAGAGCACCTCTCTGATTCCCTAAAATCTTAGGTCCATTAGTTTTCATAATTCTGAAAAAATAAACCAGCTTTCAACTCCATAAACTACAAATTTGACTCACTTGAGCTGGTATTTAGCCTATGGCATAAGTAGTTTCATTATTGACCTTTTCTATATTCTCTTGCACATTACTGAAAAATCATCAAGAATAGGGTAAAACTGTTCTTTGCATTTGCTGATCTTTTACCATCTTAGATTCTTTAGATGGAAACTCTTTCTTGGTCATGCTGTGTGGTCTAGCATGGTCCCTGGATAATAATTCTTCAGATCTTTTACCCATAACAACTTTAAGATACCTAATTGATAGATATGGGGTTATAAAATACAATTTACCCAACAGGCTGTGTTCCAGCTTCCTTTTCTTTGTAATTCATATCAGAATAAGTTAATATAGTCTTTGGATTAACTGGAGAGCTAGCCCCTCTGTAGCATGAAGACAGGCTTCTGTTTTCCATGCTAATGACATGACTTTATTCTGAGTCCTTGAGCATCCTTAACCAGGAGCTGAACTTGTTGGCTAAGTAGTTTTTGAATGAATAGCTCAGTATTGTCTCTCTTTTTTTTTTGATAGATACTCTTTGCATTCAGATGGGTACTAACAAATAACTACATTCAGTAAGTTAAGATTTTTTGAAGGATTCGTTTTGTATTCTGTTCATTCAGGGAGCCCATTAGGTTGCAGGCCAGCTCTAAATCTGGTGTTTGTATGAGACATACCAAAGTAACTTTTACAACCAGCGTAGTCAGTTGGTAACTTCTACTTGGGAAATATTACTGTCCTGAGTATTCATTTTCTCTTATCTGCAGTACAGAATTCTGAGATTCCTCTTGCCAGCTGCCTGTTTCTAAAGCTAGGATAGCCCTCCACATAGTTGGAAAGTGAAAGTCTGCGTATCTGCTGTCTAAAGCGTGTGGATCCCTTGTACAGTCAAATGCACAGAACACTCATGCTCGAGACACTCACAGTCTCCTCTTGCTGCTTATACGTGATTGTACATTATAGAGAACATGAAGACGAACTGACCCTTCTTTTCAGAAGTTCACCATCTAGTAGGGTAAAAAGGATGTTTATGACTATAAATGAGAAAGGAAAATTTAAGTCTTAGTTCTATTAAGTTCCTTTTTAAACCCTATTTGAAGGAGTTGAGAGTCCAAGGGATATATATTTTGATCTAAGCTCTATGCATATATCTGGTTAGACTACCAGAAGTATAGTCTACGTTATTATTGCTTTCTGTAGGGCCGGCACAGTGGCGTAGTGGTTAAGTTCGCGCACTTAGCTTCGTGGCCCTGGGGTTCGCGATTTTGGATCCTGGACGTGGACGTGTGCACCACTTATCAAGCCATGCTGTGGAGGCATCGCACATACAAAATAGAGGAAGATGGGCACAGACGTTAGCTCAGGGCCAATGTTCCTCACAAAAAAATATATATATATATTGCTTTCTGTAAAAACACCTTGACTAAACACCTTGACTAAATTATTTTTATATTGCCATTCAAGTGCACTTTGTTTTTATAAGGGTCATATTGATTGTTTGGTCAAAAAACTACCCAAAATCAACTTTGTTGGTATGTTACAATCTTTGCAAATTGGTTCATCTGAACAGTTCCACTGACTGATTCTAATTGGTTGGAAAGAGAATAGTTTATCCCATTTTCAAAAAAGGGCAGCCTTATATTGCCTCCAGATTATAGAATTTAATGTTTTAATGGCTTTCAACTCTTATCAAGAATAGCCTCAAGAAATGACCATTCTGAATACTTTTTCTGTATTTTCTGTAAGATTTCTCATGAAGATGGTGTCTTTTATTCTCTTACATAAGAATCCTTGTTGTATATCTCTTTGGTTTAGTTAAGAAAAATTTTGTCATATCTCCCAAACTAAACTTTATTTTGTTAATGATTGCCATGTAATCAGTCATAATTTCTTTTTTGACCTGCCTACCAAAAAGTTGAGAATTCATTTTAATACTTATATATATAGCAATAACTAGGTTTCTGAGTTAACCATCATCTTCCTTTTATTTTTATGGCTTTTGTATTATTTTGTTATATGCATCTTTTATTATAAGTAACATCAAATTATTTATGGAACTAGGTACAGATAATAAGTAAATATATTAAATCCTTTTAAATATGTGTCAGTCAACAGAATTCACTGAGTGCACATTTTATGCAGAATGAGCATTGTGTTCTGTTTGGTTGGGGCATCAGTCCAATATTTTTGTCCCCTTCTTCCTTTCCACTTTTAAAGATCTTCGTTATTCTTCCATTACATGTAGATTGTCACTTCTTCCATGAATCGTGCCTTCCATATGTAATCGTACCCATATTGGTTTTATATGTTTGATATGCCATTTTATCTATCTTTTGTAAAATATGTTTGGGCGACCATTTTATTTGGTTGTGTCTTCTGATACTTTTCTTCAACTATAAGTCTTTGTGTGCTGTACTGTAAATTATCTAGGTTATATAATTTATATGCTATAATTCCTTAATTCCTTGAGCTCTGGGGAAACATAGATGATGTTTCTATCTTTTTATGTGCTTTATAGTCAATCATTACTACTGACTGGGCAGTAAAATTTACTTAGTTAATTTTGTGGTATTTACATAGAATTGTTTTTCCGTAGTTTTGGTTCTAAAAGTTTGGATGCAATAGTAACACAATAGTGGATACAGTACAAAAAGCTAATTCTTGTGGCATTATCAGAAATCTGAGAATCTTGTAACAGCTTTTCCATCACTCTCATTGTTGGGTTCTGACCCATAAAGGTCCATCACAAAGGTTCTCAAAGTGGGTAGATGTATGGGAGTTGCTCTATGAAGTTGCTTTATAGAGGGATTATAGCTATGCCATGATATGTTCATGCTCAACAAATAACACTGACATTTCTTTGACTTTTTTCCCTTCAGAGGTGACATTGTGATTGCAAAAAGCCCAAGTGATCCAAAATCAAATATTTGTAAAAGAGTAATTGGTTTGGAAGGAGACAAAATCCTCACCAGTAGTCCGTCAGATTTCTTTAAAAGCCATAATTATGTAAGTAGCACTTCAGTTATGTTACTCATTGGTGTCATGGTTGATTAACAGTAACTGAACACACAAGGAAAGTAACTTTTATTCATACTTTGAATATAAGTTAAAATGCTGCATTCAGTAGAATTTAAGTATGTTTTTATCAAGAACAACTTGGCCATTATATTTTATACATTTTAGTTCCTTTTAAAACTCTATATAAACTTCTCAGTAATCATTGTTGCAGGCAAGATTCACCAATGGATGCCAAAATTATTGAGCAAAACTTTGAGGAAAAATAGTATATTTGCATAATGTCAAAGTATCTCTCCCAAGATATTTATTACAAAGGGAAAAATAGTAAGTTCATAGAGGAGAAACCTGGCAGACACCACCTTAACTGAGTGATAGGGGTTAACTTCACCAGTAATAAGATATATCAATGTAATGTCGCCCCTGAATTGAAGCAGGAGAGGGCACAGCACTTTTGTGTTATTCTTGCAAAAGGGGGTATAATTTCAGTCTAAGCATGAGAAAACATCAGACCAGCCCTGGTCGAGGTCATTCTGCAACATAACTGACCAGTACTCTTCAGAAGTGTCAAGGTCATGAAATACAAGGAGGAGACAAAGGAGACATAACACTTAAATGCAGTCTGGGATCCTGGCTTAGAAAGTTTTCCCACTGACTTGTTACTGGAAAATTGGATAAAATTAAATAGGGTCTGTGGTTAATTTTTAACAATCCTACTTAAATTTTTAGAGTAGAAATGGTATGTAGCTTTGGTCTGGTCAGCTTTCCTCTCTAAGTAGGAGAGAAGAGCAGGAGTGGTGGAGGGCAGAGGGAGGAGCCGATGGCATGTGCCCGCTCCTTTCAGCAGTCACAGGGCTGCTATGACACAGCCATGGCGGGGGAGGCTGGCCTTTTGTTCACTCAGCATATGCTCTTCTTACCTTAATAATTATAACAAGTTTCTAGTTTTCTTTAAATTTTCTGTCACTATCAAATTATTAATAGAGCTGTTACATCTATTAACTCACTTTACCTCTGTCGTCATCCCCTGTGTAAGCATATAATTGAATTAAATTGTCTTCATCATTGTAAATTTATTTTGAACTATAATAGCCTCTCTTTGCCCTATAAGTAAGTTTGATCGATAGACTATTAAATAATCTATTATTTATTTACTATCCATAATAGACTGTAGTTCAGCTGTGCAAATGTTTAAATGTTTATTACTACAGTGCTAAACATGCTAGTAATTGTTAGCGGATGGTGATAATACTGTTGAAGATGATAGTGTGATATCAGGTAACCGATTTTTCTGTGGCCTTTATTATGGACACTGTATCCTATTATTCTTCAAAAATGTCAGATTCTGACATAATGGTTTCACTTTCACATGACTCATCATTTCATGAGGCATTCTAGTCACTTCTGAGTTCCTTTGGCAACAAGCATATACTTGAGAACAGAAATAGTTTTGTAGTAGACAGAACAACAGAACAGATAACCGACAGCATCCCTCTCTGTGTGCTCACATCCCACACCTGTGTTGTTTTCTTTTGAAGAGTTATTAGAGGAGGAATGTCAGGACAGAGGGTTTAGATAAAATCTCGGCTAAGTAATCAAGAGAAAATGACCAGAGAATTCTGTTTAAGGAGAACACAGATTGAGTTTTTATGTTAAGTGAATGGATAAATTAGAGGAACTGCCATTTTGTCCCAGGGGTATTCCATTCTCTTTGGTTTGCATGTTTTTAAGTGTACAAACAATTGTAATAATTTTGGCCAGCACTTATGATGCATTTACTCTATACCAGACGCTGTTGAAACTCTTTACAAGGGTTAATTTATTTAATCATCACAACAGCAGCGCAGTGAGCTCGGCAGTCATTGTATTTGACAGATGGGAGAACTGAGCCACAGAGGGTTACATAAATGGCCCCATTTTGCAGGGTTGGTGAGAGGAACAGTTGGGATGCAAATACAAGTAAGCCTGGCTGCATCCAGGAGCTGTGCTCCTGACCGTGCCACTACGTCTCCTCCCCAAATGTCTTTTGCTATCTAATTCTTATTTCTACTCCCGTGTCGTCAAATTGTACTTCCCTTAAAATGTGTCTTCATTATTTTTAAAAAGAAAGGGAACCTTTTCGATCAGAGGCAATGTTGGTTCTGAAAGAGAAGCCAGTGATTTCTGAAGGGTTCTCCACCCCCCAACCCCCCAAGTTTTTCTAGGCTGGGTTATTCAAGCCACAAGAATTGTGTAGCTATTACAGAACCACTTTAGGAAATGTGTTCCATTAATCAAGGTGATTTATAACAAAAATTCATCCAAGTTTGGAGCACTCTGAGAAGATACTCAAACCATTTGCAGGTCCAACCTCTAGAGTGTTCCCTTTTCAGCTATCTCTGAAGCACACTGGGGCTGTGTTTCATGAAATAGGTTTATTCCCCTTACCTGAGCATCCTCTTAGAAAAATCATTGTTGTTTATAAGATAAAGACATTGCTATTCCGATCTTGATTGAGCTGCATAGTAAAGATGATAAATATTAAATGTGTTTTGAATTTTAGTCAAAAAACGTTTATTCTCCTAAGTAGGTACTTCAAATGACACAGAAATTGTCATTTGGAACCTAGAATATAGAGTTTAGCATATGAAAGAAATTGCATTGTTTGCAAGTTGGCAAAAAAGAACGTAAACAGATCTTTGGTTAAGTGACCGTGGAACCATTTTATTCATTCCAGAGTTCTGAAAGTCCACGTGGCAAGCAGCACTTATGCAGCGTGATTTACTTTTTACATTAAGCGTTTGGGAGCTAAGCAGGCCCTGTCCAGGTGCTGCTGCAGTGGGTTTTGCTTATTTCGATGGTGTTGAGGCCAGTAGTTCTTCCCTTGGATTATGGGCTGAGTGTTGCCCACCAGGATATGAGCTTAGTTTGTGACTCTCAAAAGAAACAGTTGTTCTCAGCTCAAACATCTGGATGACTTGCCTGTTTATAATGTAGGAATTTCTCAGTTTGCCCCTAGAAGCCACTGATTTGCCAAAAAATAATTTAATTGGAAGTGGAAGCTTTCAGCAAATAGGAAATACATAAAATGAACTGGCATTCTCCCATTGATTTGCACAGTAGGCAAAATGCAAAATCCTCGTTACATTAATGTAGTCTCCGTTCCCCTAGGGAATATAGGGCCAGGACTCAGGAAGGACAGTAAAATTTTGTTATAAAGCTAATGAAGAGACGAAGAAAAACACTTGATAATCTTTTTGAGGATAACATTGTGTGGTAGTCCAGGGCTGTGAATTTAATCCGTAGTGTAACTGTGGTACTGTTAGGCATTTTGAAATATAGTAAATTCCTATCAGCCAACAGACATGCTCAGACATCTCCCATCTACACAGGCTTCTTGGACACCACAGCCTCCTGTGGGAAAGAATTGTGCACACTGACTCCACTCAAAACTTTGTCTTTTCTCTTGAACTCATTCTGGTTAGGCTGTGGTCCCCACCACCTCACTGAAACAGTTCTTGTCAAGGGTCCCCGATGACTTCTCTGTTATCAGTCCAGTGTTCACCTTTCTGTCCTCATCGTACTTGACCTATTGTTAGTCTTTGAAATAGTTGTTCTCGAAATCTGGTTTTCCTTAGTTTTTGGGACACCACTCTCCCTAGGTTTTTTTTCTCTCTGCTTCTTCTGAGTTTGCTTTGTAGGTTCTTCCAAACATTGGAATAACTGAGGGTTCATATTTTAAACTTCTGTTGTTTATATAAGCACACACTTTACATGACCTCATCCTGTCTCAGGGTTTTAAATACTAACTCAGCTCGCCATTTTTTTTTTTTTTTTTTTGCTGAGGAAGATTACCTGTGAGCTAACATCTGTTGCTAATCATCCTCTTTTTTTTTTTTTTTTTTTTTTGCTGAGGAAGATTACCTGTGAGCTAACATCTGTTGCTAATCATCCTCTTTTTTTTTTTTTTTTTTGCCAAGGAAGATTGGCCCTGGGCTAGCATCCATGCCCATCTTCCTCTACTTTATATGGGATGCCGCCACAGCATGGCTTGATAAGTGGTGTGTGGGTCCACATTCGGGATCCAAACCCGTGAACCCTGGGCCGCTGAAGTGGAGCGTGCGAACTTAACCGCTACACCACTGGGTCGGCCCCCTCAACTCCCAAATTTTTATCAACCACAACCTCTTCCCTGAACTTCAGAATCGTATATGTAATAGGCTGCCTAGGGCCGGCCCCGTGTCTTAGCGGTTAAGTACGCGTGCTCCGCTGCTGGCGGCCCGGGTTCGGATCCCGGGCGCGCACCGACACACCGCCTCCCCGGCCATGCTGAGGCCGCGTCCCACATACAGCAACTAGAAGGATGTGCAGCTATGACATACAACTATCTACTGGGGCTTTAGGGGAAAAAATAAATGAATAAATAAAATTTAAAAAAAAAAATAGGCTGCCTTAATATCTCCACTTTAGTATATAATGGTCACCTTGAACTTAATATGTCCAAAACTAAACTCTTGATTTTCCTTCCCAAACTGGCTCCTCCTGCACACTTCCCCATCACAAAAAGGCAACTCCACTCTTCTGCCTTCTTAGGTCATAAACCTGGGAATCATCCTTGACTCTCTTCCTCTTTCACCCACATCCAGTCCATTAGCAAATCATGATGACTGTATCTTCTAAACATAATCAGCATTAGACCACTTGTCACCATCACTGCTGCCATCCCGGTGCAAACCAGAGTCACCCCTCTTATTTTCTTGCAGGAACTTCTGAACTGCTCTTTCCTGTCTTTTTACCTCCCTACCCCTCCAGTGACTATTCTCCACGTTGGAGCTGAAATGATCTTTTTTAATAATGATGCCTTTGTGAGTAATAATGTTACTCTTCTGCTTAAAGACCCCACTGGCTCCCTGTCTCACTCGTGTTAAAAGCCATAGGCCTTACGATGACCTACAAGACCCTACGTGGTCACTCTTGCTGCGCCTGTTGTTGTCATTAAAGTTTTATTGGGA